CCCTACTACAACAACAAAAGCAACAACAACAACAACTCCAACTACGACAACCACCACCCCTACTACAACAACAAAAGCAACAACAACAACAACTCCAACTACGACAACCACCACCCCTACTACAACAACAAAAGCAACAACAACAACAACAACAACAACAACAACTCCAACTACGACAACAACCACCACCACCACCACTACAACAGCAGCACCAGCACGTCCTCTGCCAACTGTAGCCATACAGATTGTCATTATAGAGGTTTTTACTCAAGCACTGGAGGACCCGAAATCTACGGAATTTAAAATCCTAGCCACAAAAGTGGAGACTATGGTATGTTTCAAATGGCAGAACAATACAGTGATACATATGTATAAGCATTTGCAAAGATACACATACAAATTTAATGATTTTTTTCTTTTATCTTAAATAACAGTAAAAATCTAAAGGAAAATTCTAAACTCAGTTTTGCACTTTTACAGTTTTGGGAGTGAGAAAATATGATCTTTTTTACCACTCTTTTTCATTCCTAAAACTGACTTACTGCTTTCACAGTTTGATGAAGTCTATAAAAAAAAGTTTGGGCCTCGTTTCATCAGGACCATTGTGATTGCATTCATGTAAGTAAAAAGTTTGATTCAATACTTTAAATGATTACTTTATTAATCATGCTTTCAATGTCAGACAGTTTGTGTAATTTTTCATGTCATAAAAACGTCACGGGTTACTCATGTAACCATGGTTCCCCGAGAGGGAACGAGATGCTGGGGAATGCAGCCTGCATGCCCTTTTATATTTCTGGGCATCCCACCTATGAAGTCATGGGCCAGGTGGGCCAATCGATTGGTGTTGTTTCAAACGTGCTTCAGACACCGGTCATGCAGGCTGCATTCCCCTAGGGGGCGCAGCGTTGAGCTCCCTAGAAGGGGAATTTGCATTTATGCATTTGACTATACTCACTACTGTCAAAAGCAAAAAATATGGTAAGATTTTCTCTCCTTTATACAAGTTAGCCATTGAGAGTTATAAGTTAAGTTGCATTTTGACATTTGCATGATGCAGTTTTTTTTTACATTTCTTTTCTCTCGTCTCTGCACCACAACCCATCAAATATATGGATGTAATTATAAGCTGTAAAACATACCTTTTTCTCTAGTGGTGTTTCCAGAACCCGGGAAGGATTAAATGTACAGGCGGAGGTTCAGTTGGTGTTCAGTGAAGCGTCCACTGAACCGATCCCCAGCAACGCTGACATTGTGCAGACTCTAAAAGAAGCAGCTGCTAATTCAACGGCAGGCTTCAACCTCACACTTGATGCCACCTCTATTACTGTCATTAGTAAGCTCATTTAGATATGCCAGATTTCTGAGATCTTACTATGTTAACTTGACTAGAAAAGTTCTGCGCAATCTTTGCTCTGTTATCTTTAAAATCAATTCCTTTTTTGTAGAATCAGTGCAGATAATTCCGCTGACAATCCTCACCAATGGAACCTTTGTGGCTGCTCTTTCAAATAAAAGTTCTACTGAATTTCAGACCAGGGCTTCGATGATAAAAGCAGGGGTGAGTGTGATGTGTCTACTTATGAATTTTGGGTAATATGCTTTTACAAAAGAAAGACAATTTTGTTGAACAACTCTTCTTTTGCAGCTCGAACCGTTTTTCCTCGCTGATTACCCTAAATCATTCAGCACCATATCTGTAACAGACTTCAGGTATGAATATGCTGGTGCATTCTTGAAAATAGCTACTGATTCAACATAACACTCAGTTTTCATTGATGAATCTTGATTCCAAACTCTCTCCAGTGATGCCAGTGTAAAATTACGGAGCGTGCCCACAATCCGAAACTCCATGGATCTTGTATTTGGAGCGGACGCCGTTCTACCTAATAGCACCCAGATAGTGAACACTGTAGTTCGAGCAACTAGAAACAACACGTTACCCTTCCAGATCTTCACTTCTTCAATCATAATAAATGGAACCGGTGAGTGATGCACTTTAATCTTGCACTGTAGTGAAACATTGTGCACTCAGATGAGTATTATTATTTTTTTACTGGAGTTGTACAACCCTGTTATATCAATGTAGGGTAGAGTACAGTTGTAACTTGTTTGCGTTTTGCTGTCCTGCACAATTAGAAAGTTTTGCACAATTTGTGATAATTGTGATAATAAATCAGTTTCATTTTTGTAGAATCACTGCAGAAAATTCCAGTGACAATCCAGACTAATGTAACTTTTGTGGTAACTTTTTTCAAATACACGTTTTGTTGAATTTCAGAGCAGAGCATCAGTGATAAAAACCAATATATTAGCACACTAGAATGCCCTAAAAAACATTAATTTGCAGACCCTACGTTTTGGTGTGGATTGTGAACAATTTTACTCATTCTGCCCAGTTCCTGCTTATAATGCAGGAAATTCAAACATTTTCTCAATTTCTCGCATTGCAACCATGCACTTTTTTGGTTCCACTTTTGACATTCTACTAACTACAAGTAACTTTGCAACTACATGTCAACTAACCACCATTAATCTGCAACTACATGTCAGCTAACTCGGATTAGTATACTGTTTTGTTAGGGTTAGTAGAGTAAGTTGGGTTGCAAAGGGGTGGAATGTCCCCAGTAAATTTATGGAAACTTTCCAGGATTTTTTGGAAAATGTTAAGTTTCCAAAAATTTACTGGAAATTGCTATTGACATGTAGTTGCGAAGTTGAACAAAACTGACATGTATTCTACTAACGACTGTTAGTTGACAAGTAGAATGCCTATAGTGGAATGAAGTGTAACCCTCTTATTGTTTAAATACATACAATTCAAAATTTAATGAAATTTGATATTAAACAATGAAATCAAACTGACTTGCATTATTATATAGGTTATTGCACAACAAAATCACACAATCTTGTATTTAACAAACAAAATTCAGAAGGTGATAAATCAACAATCGGCAATAACAAGCACAGTTTTTAATGATCAGACAGGAATAACAATTATTCACAATAACAGAGTAAGAAAAAAGGACTTTATATGATTGAAAGAACGTGGACTACAAGCTTGACATTTTTCATGCAGAGAGAGAATGCTAATGTTAACGTGCACATGCATTTTAAGAGTTAAAATTTGCAGCGTTGCATCTGTACTCTGTCCATTATACTACTTGAGTTTTAGACAAAATTCCAAAAGGTCAGTGAATGATAATTTCTGTCTGTTTTAATCTCTTTGTGATGCAGAACATTCGGCAGGTGAAGTCAGCAGCAGGATCAGTGTGTTGACCGCTTCAGTTCTGGTTGCTGTGTCGCTTCTGGTTCCACGGTTTAACTGAACGTATCCACTCATGCCAATATAACTGATTCAGACAGGTCTGAATCTTTCCTTCAGCTCAAGTGAAGGACTCAAATGAAGCTACTGATGCTACGTAATGAGTAGTAATGAAAGTAATATTTTATATAATCCTATTCTGAACACTTCAAACTAGATCTAAGTTATAATGGATTCCATATTGGTTCTGGATCTGTATGTACCTGCATGTTTTGGTACATTTTCTCCCTTCAGAATCCATCATCATGCGCAGAGGGAAAAGGTTGATTTAAAATGTTTGATCTCTTTAGACGATTCCACTTTATTATTGAAATATCAAATTCTAATGGTTGTCTCATACACACATACTTGTAGCCCTTTTGAAATGCAGCATAGCTTCTCCGAACGTAAGCCATGCATTGGAACATGTTAAAGGTCTTTTTTATGCTGGCTGACTCTGAACAGTCTGGAAAAGGTTTTGATGAGCGAAAGGATGAAGTGTTTCAATGCGAATGAAACCTGTAAAACAACTTGAAAGAATGACAAATAGCTACAGGACATGACATCAGTCTAGGGGAGAAACTTGGTCTGAGATTATTACATATTAACACGAAAACCTGTACAGAAACCACCACCACAACAACAAATTTCATGCACTTGTATCATATCAGTATTTTCTAAATTATTTATTCTAGAAAAAAATCTATCTAATATTTCCTAAGTTAATTTAATTCTGAACTCAAATTGCGGATTTTCTGAAAAATGTATTGCTTGTTGATATTGTTCACACTGGATGTGGTAAACAATATGATGGTTGCCAAGAGCACAAGTGAAAAGATCATAGAAAACAGTGAGTATATACAAACACTGTTAGATATTAAACCATATGAATAAACACAAGATATGCTTCAATTCTCTTTTTTTAATAAATGAATATATGTATATATGTGTGCGTGTGTGTGTTTCTGTTTGCGCACAGCTTTCCCTGTCAAACAAATAAACAATCTAAATATCAGGTCGGGTCAGGAAATGCTGAGACCAGACTCAGTCGAGTTCCGATGCCTTTCTCCCTCCGCGTCTCCGCAGCACAGCAGTGTAGCACTGATCGGCACATGCACCACAGACATGCAGAGAGTCACAGAGGTGAATCCTTGCCTCCCTTTCCAGTTGTGTTTGTCTTGGTGTGGAGGTGAGTGGTGATGAACAAAAGACTAAGCTACCTGTGCCTCGAATTTACAGCTAATTATCCAAAATGCAATTATAGTTATTAGTCTTGCTAACATCCATGAATCATGAGAGAGCTACCATGTAAAAGTTTAGCGAAGGCAATAAAGTCTAGTAGGTTAGACCAGTGCGCGTTTTTTCACTGCATGATTCAGTTTATTAAAATCCATTTAGAATGATCACAAAATTCAAGATATGTGGGCAGAAATGTATATATTTATATAATTTCATATAGTTAATCAGTATCACGCGAAGACTGACGTTTTTTTCCACCATAAAGCAGCATGATTACAAATTTGACATTGATTTTATACAGCAGTTCAATAAACAACAATTTAATATTAAGACACTTACATTTTAGACGTTTTAGATTAGTTAATATTTACAGTTTTTGTTCTATTTTGCCAACAAATATAATTCCAATTATCTGAGCAACATGACGCTGTTTTGTTCCTGAATGAATCAACTGTTTAAATGATTTGGTCGCAATGACTCAGTTATTAACAGTGACTTGCTGCCACCTACTGACAG